TTGCTTGTACAAGAGAGGAAGAATCTGCCAGACTACTGCTGCACTGTCAAATTTTCTATATATATTTTGTTTGTATCCCCTAGACATGTGTTAAAAAGATAATGGAAGAAAAGGGAAGCTTGGAACAAGTGCCTGTTAATCTAAGAGTATTTTATTTCAAGTTGGTATGGATAAAGAAGTCTCTAGAACTTACGAAAGCTTTTCTCTTTCACTACGCACTACTACGCATGTTTAACACTGATTAACACTGATACTTTAAGAATACCACTAAACAAAAAAAAATAATTATTAAAACAACGTTTTATCAACAATTTCACTAAATTTAATAATAAATTAATACTTGAGAAACTTTCGCTTTTAAACATGCTGACTCATACGAAAAGGGAATATCGATAGAAGCAAGAAGAAATTCACTGTAGAAATCAATCATTTTTTTATTACCCTTTTGAAGTAATTGGAGGCCGAACACATCTTTGAGGTCATCCAAAACTATAAGATGAACGGAACACAAAAGTGAAAAAAATAGGCAAAGCAATGTTGTGGTTCGGTGGAAAGGCAGAGAGACACTTACATAAGTGTTGAGCTGTCTGACAAAGCTGGAGAAGTTGTTGTGCTTGAAGTAAAGTGGGAGAATAGTGGCAGAGAGTAAATGTGGATCCCAAACGACAAAACTGATGCCTCCTCTGTTCCAAGACACAATGTGGTTTGTGTTTGGATCATCGACCATCTGGAACGTCTTTGTTAGAAACGGAGAAGGCCCTGCTTCCTGCAGTCCCTCCATTGGAACCGGCGGCATTGACCTCGCCCTCGAGCTCGACGACGACTCCATCTATCTTCCTTGTTCTTTTGATCACCACTAGAAATCTGACGAATGTGACACCTTTTGGATAAGATTGAGTTTTTAATGAGTTTTGACTAAAGATAGGAAACGAATCATCTGGGTTCATGGATCAGAGAAACAATAAAGATGTGGGAAAAGAGCGGGAAGTACATCTTTTTTTTGAAAAACAGAGTACTCTGCTTTTTCTGTGTTGGTTAGTTTATGGCAGTTGAGGGAGGAGATGTGGTGGAGACAATGGCCACGTACGTGGTGGCTTAAATAGAAAGAGTTTGTTAATTGGAAGCTAGTGACATTTTTTATTCACTTAGTGGATTACGAACTTTCTAGAACACTTGCACTTGCATTAGAGATATCTTTTAGAACGTTCCAGAAGTTAGTATACTCTTGAGAGGAGTGTGAGGTAAAATCGTACGAGGAACCCATGATTTTATTATTAATATGCTAGAGTTTGGTAAGTGAAATTAGGAATGTAGAATAGCTTTTCAATTCTCAATTGATTTTTCGATATGCACAAGTTTAGTAGTACATTTGGAACTTTCCAAGAAGCAGTAGAGTCCAAATCCCAAGCTACTTTTGGATCATACAAAGCTGACACGTGGCAAAAAGTAGGCTGCCACGTCGTATTTGGGTGTCTACCTTGTGGAGTGTGCTTGTTCACGTGGTGACCATGTGGCTGGGATCCGCCCCTCTATGCAACTTTTGGATCGTATTGTTTTTCATAACTAAATGCAACATTTGGATCGTGTTACACTATTACAGCCATGAAACAATTTATATTTGGAACAGAAAACAAAAGCATTATCCAGAACTAATTAAGAAACAGAACCTTCCATTACGAAGCTCCTCCTCCTTTTTCACAATTGGCACCAACATATTGCCACGTAATCAGGTTTTCCAAGAACACGTGGCCCCTTCGCTGCCTGGTTTGGTTGAACAGGCCGGTTTGTCGAGGGTTCAATTGAAATCGGTTTGTTAATGGTTCAATTGAAACCCAGACTATTTTGATGGTTCGATTACTGGGCTCCACCATTTCTCTCGTCTTCTTCACCGAGAGAGTTTTCAGGCGGAGGAGCTCCAAGCGGCTAGCTCATAGCCTTCTTCGTTCAGGTAACCTGTTTCTTCTATCAACAACTTAGAGATTACGCGACTATTTCATCCTACTGTTCGACAATTATGTTTGATTCGACGGAGATGATGGCTGTTCCTTCGTCCTTAATCATGTTTAAAGTTAGCCAAATAGAGCTTCAATTTCGAGTAAATAGTGTTTAGGGGATTAATCATGTTCGAAGTTAGCCAAATGGAGCTTCAGTTTCTTCTCTATCACCGGAAGAACAACATTGAACTTTGCATTCATTTTCTGCCAATTAGAGCTTGAGCTTGAGATTAATTGGCAAACATTTCGCTCCATTTTTCCTCTTCTCAAGTATTTAACTCCTTACTCCAAGTCTTTACATAGGACTCCCGTAATATACAAATATATCAATAGGATTCGGTTCAGTTTTCTAATTTTCCATAAGGTGAGGTTTAGGAATTTGTTCTGTAACTGCGTTTAATCCCGAAATAGATTGTTTGTGTTATTTTACAGATATCCTTCAAATCTTACACAAGCCATGCTGCTAGGAAGATGACGTCCATTGTCAAATCAAGTCTGCTACATCTACGGTTCCTCATATCTTTCATCCTTCTGTTTTTGGCAATCAACTGTGGAGGGGAATCTTTGACGTGTTTGACGGTTTACAAAGAAGGCGGAGCTCCAGCTGTGTTCCAATCTCCCAAATGCCCTCGTTGGAATCTCCACAATTGGGGTTCTCCTACACACAACGGAGGCGGTCGTTGCCATACCGCAGCGATACAAGGTCGGAGGAAATACCAAGAGGATCGTGTTCTTTGTGCTTTTGATCTTCGGATTCCCTTTCCCGGTATGGAACATTCGTATTTTGTATGCACATGCTTGGTTTGCCTGCCAAGTTTGAAAATTCCATTACTTAACTAGCTAATATCTCTTGCTTAAGCTCAAGCGAAGGAAATATTAATGGCATTTTCTCGTAATTTGAGCAGGCAAGAGTGGAACAAAGGATGTTTTGGTTGGAATTGCAGCAGTCTTTGACGGGCATAATGGCCCAGAAGCCAGTGAGATGGCTTCCAAACTTTTATTGGACTATTTTGCTTTGCATATCAACTTTCTCTTGGACGCAACTTTTTCTGCTATGACGAGGAAGTTGATTGGAAAATTACCAGCTACAGGGGAGCATGGTGTCATTTTGCATGGCCTAAGTCGGGATGAAATTATGCAGTTGAGTGCTTTTTCATTTTATAACTCTAGCCCATATCAAGTAGTCATTTTCGACAATTATAATGATCATCTAAAGGTGTGACGAGGGCTTTCCATGTGTGAGGAGATATGATTTATGAAATGTGTGGCATGTCCGCCTCATTGTAGTGGCCCAAATTTTTTTTGCAGGTTTCAAGACTCATTGCTGCTTAAATTCGATGACTCTCTTCACTTAGATATTATGAAGGACGCATTGCTGAGAGCGATCCATGACATTGATGCCACATTTACTAAGGTATAGTGGATGTCTTCTGCTCAGTCCGTTGAACGCTCTGTATTATTATTTCCTTCTCAGTACCGTGAAGGATGCTACCAGCTAAACTTTGTTTTCTCCAGGAAGCATCTAAGCGAAAGTTGAATTCAGGTTCAACGGCTACAATAGCACTTATCGCGGATGGTCAACTAATGGTTGCCAGTATCGGTGACTCAAAAGCACTTTTGTGTTCTGAAAAGTTTGAGACTCAGGAAGAAGCTAGAGGTTGGCGACAACTGTTTCCAAAATTAAGCTGCCTCATGAAAAGCCAGTATTGAATTTGTTGTTTAAGGGAATTTGATATAAACATTTTATTGCAGCTACTTTGGTGAAGTTGTACAGAGAGCGAAGGCGCAACCGGGGCTCTTCACCAACAAGGTTCTCTGAATTTAAACTGGAACATAGCAATGGACGACTACGTTTGATTGCCAAAGAATTGACAAAGGACCATCACCCGAATAGAGAAGATGAAAAGATTCGTGTCGAAGCTGCTGGCGGTTATGTCACTGAGTGGGCCGGTGTGCCACGAGTGAACGGTCAGCTGGCTGTCTCCCGTTCAATTGGTGACCTTACTTATAAAAGGTAAGCATTGTCTATTGTATCTTAGTGCCTCTCTGTGCCTCTGAGCATGATTATTGCTGAAACTCATATTTCTTTTGTTATACTTACTCTCGTTTACACTATTTGAAGATGAAATGTGAGTTTTTATATCTGTTTCAGTTACGGTGTCATCTCTGCACCTGAGGTGATGGACTGGCAACCACTAGCGGCTAATGACAGCTACTTGGTAGTGTCATCTGATGGCATCTTTGAGAAGTTGGAGGTACAAGATGTATGCGATCGTTTGTGGGAAGTAAACAACCAAACAAGCTCTGGAGCCGGACTGCCTTCATACTGCTCAATATCTTTGGCAGACTGCTTGGTTAATACTGCACTTGAAAAGGGAAGTATGGATAATATGGCTGCTGTTGTGGTTCCTCTAAAATCTAATCTAGTTTCTCAGCTCCGACGGAAGGAGCAGAGTATGAGTGACAACAAAGACAAGATTGCTTCAGCACTGCCGAGTAACACCTGTGCACTGCCATGTAAGTTTCTCTGGTTGCAATCAAATTCCCTAACGTCGTCATTATAAAATCTAGACTGTGAAGCTGCACTGATAATTGTTCTTGCATCTCATGTTTGGCTAATAAAGTTTTTGTCTTTTCAACAGTGCCTAATGATTTAAATTCGGGTCCATTGCAATTGAAGCAGGCTCAACCACTTGCAACCATGTTCAATAGGTTATTGGTATGAGCCAATTGACAGACTTTCACTATTCCCATATTCATTTTTTTTTTTAAGCCATTCTCTGACAAACAATTGTGACATGCGATATCTCACTATTGGGTAATTCAAGATTAAGCTAATGGTTCTGTTTGTAAAATGTATCTTATAACAATTGATTTTGAATTTCAAGAATGAGGGAGCGGGCCAGGCCAGCACTACTTCATTTTATCAATTGTTACAGAAGTTGCATTATTGACCTGGAAAATCTTACAACTTATATGATTTGAGCCATGCTTCTTGTGCTAGGTTGAAGTTAAAAACGGAAGTTTTTGCCGCTTTTATATGTCAGAGAACCTTATTGGTGCGTCACACGGTCAAATGGACGATTTGAACGGTTACATGGGTGACTTACCTCAAGTTCTACCTGCATCTGCCGAGCCGTTCTCAGGTAAACCAAAACATTCACATTGAAATCCTGTTTTTGTGAGAAACCACATTGGTTCCAATTATCTAGCATTTAGTCATAATCTTTTCCCTTTTTTTGGTGCATCTGACATTTTACCCGGTTTACCCGATGAAAAAGGTTGGTGTTTGCCTTCTGGGACGGCTATCAATGAGAACCAAGATCAGTGCATCAATCCTGATAGCTTTGCCACTTTCCTTGGGTTACTTGAGTCTGTACCCTTACATGGTTTTGGTGCTAATAATGGGACGGATGAGATTTCATTTCCGGACTCGAGGTGCCTTCTTTTACTTTTGGGTTGATCAATTTATTTCTCTTTCGTATCATCATTGATGACTAGGATCCCTGTACATGATCTTAGGTAGTAGCCCTGTCATTAGCAACCTACTCCAAATCCTTTGATTTTCATGCTCTTGGTTTTTCTTCGTTGCGCTTGGCTATGTAGTCATTGCTAAAATTCGGGAGGGACAAATGGTATTGACAAATGGTATTGTTTATTCATAAAGAAACATGATGGCCTAATTTTACTCTCCATAATATGGAAATAGTTATGTTTCAAATTGAGAAAAAAAACTTGAAAATGGCGGATAAAATTGTGTAATACTATGTGATTTTAGCTATGTGCTGAAGAAAAAATTTGGGCGTGGTGCATTTGGTGAGGTATGGTTGGCATTTCACTGGAATTGCTATCAAGGAAATAATGCTACTAGTTGGATCAAGGAAGACGAGAATACATCCAAAAATGATGTTCATATCAACGAATACACTGATAAAGTAACTAGCAATACATCTACAGATCATTACGATTCTGATGGTCCTGATAACTCCTTCATTTTGAAGCGGATAATGGTATGTGTTCTTTTTAGGTTTTCCAATCTTTCCTAATATGATATGTGCCTGCAACTTTCTTTTCGCTCTTCTCTGGCTTCGTATGCTTAGAGTGGTGGTGAGAAGACGTGTATTTGTGATGTGGGCATTACTCTCTGGTTATTTGAGGATGGCAATTGTTCTCCAGTGTTCATTGCTTATAGTAAAAATTGTTTCAAATTAAGTGGTTCTTGGATATATAGATTACTCAGGATCTGGCATAGGTTATTCTTTGCGAGAGTTTGTTCTCTGCTCGTTACGTCATCTATCGCCTATATGATGACTTGTAGATGCAAGTCCTTCTCAAACTAAATTTCTACATTTTCCCATTATTTTCCTAAACAGGTAGAGAGAGGCCCAACTGTCTATTTAAGTGGTCTAAGGGAGAAGCATTTTGGTGAACTGTTTCTAAGTGCATTCAATATAAGTGGGAGTTCTTCTGCAACACAAACGTCAAGTTCTCAATCAGCATCATCAGAATTGGATCTCTCTGAAGAGGGTTTAAAACATATTGCTAGATACATAGAGTATTTTGAATCTAGATATAATGACATATGGCTTGTGTTTCATCATGAGGGTGTGTCTTTATCAAAACTGATGTATACTGTGGAAGAAGCAGATAATAGCTCTGCTGGTGAAAAGGCTGAAAAGGCAAGTCACGGGCAGATACTTCGTCCTTCAAAGTGGTGGACCTGGTTGAAGACGACAGAATCAGGAAAAGAAGAAATGCGCAGAATAATATGGCAGTTGGTACGTTGCATATGTGACAATGTTCTGATTTTGTTCCTGTGTTTGACAGATGCTTGGGAATCTAATTATATGTGTGCTTACTTTTCCATTACACGTTATCATTCTCTTTCAGTTACTGGGTCTAAAGGCCTGCCATGATCGCAATATTACTCACAGAGATATTAAACCTGGTAAGGAACGTTTGATGTTAATGATAGCTCATATAGTGTACAATCTGTGACAGATGATTTTTCTCACGGAATTAATCTACAATGGTTGGTCGGCATGTTCCTAAGAGAATATGGTGATATGCCTTGAAGACATCAAGTCAGGCAGATGCTTAAAGGGTGTACCAAATGGAGATCATAATTTCAAAACTAAAATGTACGTAGATTTCAATTCAGCTTCCTATTTTATTCATTTTTGCTCCATGTATTTCTACACTTATAGCATTTTAAGTCTCTTGGTCCTCCGCTTATGTAATTTCTCGTTTCCTGGTGACTGATGGTCTTATATTCACTGTTCAGGCGCATCATCGACTTTGGCAGTGCACTTGATGAATTCACAATAAAACATTTATATGGATCAACAGGGCCTTCGAGGTATTTTTTTTTCTTTCCTTTATATGTTTTTTGGAAATTTCACCTTCTCTGATTTTTAATCCTCACAATTGGTTTATCTTGAATTCAGAGCAGAACAAACTCATGATTATGCACCACCCGAAGCCATTCTGAACAGCAGCTGGCACCATGGCCCAACCAGTTTGACATTGAAGTATGAGACATCCTGCTATTCTTAATTAAGTGTGGCTGCAACTGGCATTGCCAAATATATATGACACCTTTCTTTCTTTCTTTCTTACAGATACGACATGTGGAGCGTTGGGGTTGTGATGTTAGAGATGATTTTAGGGTCACCGAATGTTTTTGAGATTAGCCCTGTTACACGTGCCCTTTTGGATCAACATATCAGAGGTTGGAATGAGAACTTTAAAGACCTTGCTTATAAGTAAGTTTGATTGGGGAGTAGATCATTTCGCTTGAGATTGACTGCCACAACGCTCTTTGGACAACTATTTATTTACTCGATTTTCAATTTCGTTGACAGGCTTCGATCCTTTATGGAAATGTGCATCCTAATCCCGGGTAGCTCTTTAAAACATGGTGGAGCCAGCTCAAAGCAGGTAAAGGACAGTTTGTTATATTGACTGGCGATTTACCTATGTTATATTTGACCTTTCTCAAAAAAGTCCATTTGTTATTCAATTTGTGAGAATATGTTTGTTCAGGTATTCTTGCAGCTTTGTATTTTTATCTGATAGTGATCATCCATGCATATTTTATCGAAACTCTTCAAATGTCGTCAAGGCTCAAGCCATGATGAATTAGAAAGAAAAAGAAAAACCAAAAGTCAAAATTTCGGATTGTTTAGGTTGGTTTCAAGGTCTTTTGTTAAATCTGGATGGTTATATCTCCTGTGATGCAGGGTGGGATTTCACTTGCGTCATGGAAGTGCTCTGAAGAATTTTTTGGAGAACAAATAAAGAGCAGAGACCGTCTTAAGATTGGGTTAGTCTGATGATTCCTTACCTCGATGGTACTTTTGAAATGTTGACAAGATCTTGCTCTACATCTTCAACGCTGGGAAATGCAGGTTTCCTAATGTTTGGGCTTTAAGGTTGGTGCGGGGTCTATTACAATGGTACCCGGTGAGATCATCTGTGTTTTCTTTTCTCTTATACTTTGGCCCCGTTCTCCATGTAGCATTGTTGTGAAATTGGGTAGTCCGTGTTTGGATAATGTTGTGGAAGTGCGTGCAGGAAGACAGAATGAATGTGGATGAGGCTCTGCAGCACCCTTATTTCCAGCCTCCTCCCAGCTCCTGAGAGAAGACATTATCTCTTGTAATAACTCAATTCTTTGCTGCTTCATATAGAAAGGAGTAATTCCTTGCTTCTGATTTAACTTAATAGCATTTTCTCTAGAAATTTGAAGCATGTAGAGGACACAAGCTAATTGAACTTGTGAAAGTTGGATTAATAAAATGAGTTATTGTGGATTGATCATCAGGTTACGTGGGAACAAGGTTGAAGGGAGGGAGGAAAGGTTATGTAGAGATAGTTGCCCATACATGAAAAAAGGCAGCAGCCATCAAAAAGAGAAAAAAACACATGATGATATTAGCCTTTGGTTATAATTTCCTGTAAATACATGAAATTTTTTATTTTTGTGTGTATCATTTGTCTCTTTGGAAACTAGTGAATTCATTAATTACGACGATTGGCAAATAATTTCCAAAGTCCAAACATATACAATAATGAAGGGGAAACAGAGGGATGGAGATGCATGCGGTTTTTTTCCTCTTTTTATATCTCTGGCTGGTATCTTCCTTCGCCGTCGTCGTTGTGATAAACGGTGCGGCGGAATCTTCAACCTGTTTGGCTATATACAAACAAGGTGGTGTTCCGATCCCCCAAATGCCCTCTTTGGAGTCTCCAGAATCGCGGTTCCTTCTCCGTTGTCACGCGGAGGATCGTCTTCTCTGCGCTCTTGATCTTCGCATTCCCTTTCCCGGTTGCTAGCTTGATTGTGGTAAGATGAAATTGTAAGAAGATGACGACCAAAAGATGATGTTTTGGTTGGAATTCGCAGCAGTCTTCGACGGACATAATGGTGCAGAAGCCAGTGAGATGGCTTCCAAGCTTTTATTCGATTATTTTTCCTCTTGGACGCTGCATTTTCCCTTGTCACGGTGTTAGCCACGATCAAATCATGCGTCTGTACGACTTCAATTCCAAAAGGTACTACTGGTTCTTCTCAGAATAAGACTGCTATATGATTTTTTGTTCAAGTCCTCAACGCTCATTGATTTTCACAGGTTCCAAGGTTCATTGCCGCTCAGTTCCGACGATGATTCTCTACACTTGGATATTCTGAAAGAAGCCTTGCTCAGAGCTATCCATGACATTGATGCAACATTCACCAAGGCATAGTAGTTGTGAACAGAAACCCCTTTCTTTTTCAGTTTCATGATTTGGATGCAACTGCCTCAATTTTGTTTTGTCCAGGAAGCATCTAACCAAAAGTTGGATTCTGGTTCAACGGCCACTATTGCGCTTATCGCAGATGGTCAACTAATGGTTGCCAGCATCGGTGATTCAAAGGCGCTTTTGTGTTCTGAAAGATTCGAGACTCTGGATGAGGCTAGAGGTTGGTAACAAACATCATGCTGCCTAACCAGCCTTGTGAAGCCAGAATTGTAATTTACGGTATATGGGAACAAATTTTGTCCCTATGGTGTTGGCCTATTGCAGCTACTTTAGTGAAGTTGTACAGAGAGCAAGGACGCAGTCCAGGCTCTTCTCCATCAAGGTTCTCTGATTTAAAGCTGAAACATAGCAATGGACTACTGCGTTTGATTGCCAAAGAACTGACAAAGGACCATCATCCAAACAGAGAGGATGAGAAGATTCGTGTCGAAGCTGCAGGAGGTTATGTCACTGAGTGGGCGGGTGTGCCACGGGTTAACGGTCAGCTGGCTGTCTCCCGTTCAATTGGTGACCTTTCTTATAAAAGGTACGCATTGCTTTGTTGCATCTTAGTGTCCCTCTGTGCGGCTGAGCATGACTATTAGCTCGTTTACATAATGAGAAGATGAAATGTGATGTGAGTCTTGATATCTGTTTCAGTTACGGTGTTATTTCTGCACCTGAGGTGATGGACTGGCAACCTCTAGCGGCTAATGACAGCTACTTGGTAGTGCCATCTGATGGCATCTTTGAGAAGTTGGAGTTGCAAGATGTATGCGATCGACTCTGGGAAGTAAACAACCGAACAAGCTCTGGAGCAGGACTGCCTTCATACTGCTCAATATCTTTGGCAGAGTGCTTGGTTAATACTGCATTTGAAAAGGGAAGTATGGATAATATGGCTGCTGTTGTGGTTCCTCTGAAACCTAATCCAGTTTCTCAGAGCCAAGCAAGGGAGAAATTTACAAGTGACAAGACAGCCGAGTTTGCTTCCGGATTGCAGATGAAGAACACATATGCACTGCCATGTGAGTTTCACTGACTGCAACATATCCTTAGTCTCTCATATTTTGTTTGATCAGGTTTATATGTTTTTCCAACAGATGGAACTTTTGGTCCATTGCAATTGAAGCTGGCTCAACCATCTTCAACTATTTTTAATGAGTTATTGGTATGTTCCTGTGCAAAAATGGCATTATTGGCCCGGGAAATGCTACATGGATCTTTTGATAGTGTTGGGAAACCTTGTTATTGTAGGTTTGAAGTAGAAAACAGAAGCTTTTCTATACCAAAGAGAGAACGATAATGGTGGTAACTAACGTTTCATCACATGCCTGACTTGTCTATCTCTTTCGAGTTGTTCTCTGGTAAATCACAACTCTTTGTTTAAAGTTTTTTTTTTTTTAAAAGTTGGGCTTTTTAGTTCTAGTGCACTAACATTCATTCACTATTTATATCGTTCTTTAATCGTAGGTGCATCTTAGGTTGGTTATTCAAAGAGAATCAAGATTACATGATTAATCCTTAAAGCTAAACTAGGACCAAGATTTTGGTGTATTATTCTTCTTACCATTCGATTCAATTTGAATTTTGATGTAGCCATTATTTGTATGTGAATTGGAACAAAATACAGGTTAACACTATAGTTCAAAGTATATATATAGGTTGAGTGAAGATAAGATTAAAGTTTGATCATTTTGAGTCTTAACGCTCAAAAGTCTCTTTTATTTTGTTCAAAAATCAAAAACTAACGACTTCAAAGAGGCCCACGGAACATCTGCTCGACACCTGGGGATGTCTTGAAACTTGCACGTGTCATAATCCGAGCCGTCGGATTGTTTACATTGCGCGACGTATCGGGAAACTTCTCTTGAAGCCGCCTCTCGGAGTCTTCTTCTACATGTTTCTCTTCCTTCGATCCCAATCTCAATCGCGTCCAATTAAATCGGGAAGATTCTCTCTCAACTTCTGATCGCCGGCGTTGACATTCACGAATCCGGGAAGATGTGGAACCAGAGTTACGGCAAGCATGATTTGGAGTCTGCACAGACGCCTCTCTATCCGATGATGATGGAGAGCCCCGAGCTCCGTTGGTCTTTCATCCGCAAGGTCTATTCCATCATCTCCATCCAGCTTCTCGTCACTATCGCCGTCGCCGCCACCGTCGTCACCGTTCATCCTATCTCTGTTTTCTTCACCACCACCGGCCTCGGCTTCGCTCTCTACATACTTCTTATCTTCACTCCATTGATTGGTAATAGATTC